AAACCCTAAACCCTCAAATCTAAACCAAATCCCCCTCCCCCCCGAGCCCATGAAGGAAGACCCTTGTAAACAAGGAGGCCTCTAGACTTTAACCCTCTGATTTAACCCTCTGAAGCCTATTAAGAATTTTGATGAAACCCTAAAAGACACCATGGCAACACTCCTTGAGTCGTACCCCTCACAAAAAAAGCAACCCTCATAGAAACCCCAAATGTGCTCCTACTGTGGATGATATGACTCCTGTATTATCTGAAGGACCCTAGACTATGGGAATTNNAATTTATGGTATATTCCTCATTATGGGTGATGCAGGATTTATATCATCAACCGTTGGCGCTGTCTGGTGTCGTGCATGGTTTCTTCAACCGGAGGGACGTGTCCATGCTCAACCTTTAGGGTTTAGGGGTTTTAGGGTTTAGGGTTTAGGGTTTAAGGTTAGGGTTTAGGGGTTTTAGGGTTTAGGGTTTAAGGATTCAGGGGTTCAGGGCTTAGGGTTCTGAAGCGCTGAAGCCCTACTGGAAAAGCTGAAACCGAACTTCTAAACTCCGTATTAAATCTTTAAACCTTACTTTCGTAAACCCGGAAACTCAAAACCCTGGGAAACCCCAAAGCCCTGAATCCTGATGAGACCCTTATGTTTTGTTTCGGAACTCCTACAATACGGTTGATAGTAGAACCCCTGCCTTATCTCAAGAACCCTACACTGTAGGAATTATGGTATATTCTTTAGTATGGGTAATGCAGGATTTATATCATCAGCCGTAGTGATTAGTGACCTGAAGCCCCAAGACTCAAGCCCTAAAGTCCTACAACCCTAAACCCTGCTGTAGGGGCCTTCATAATTAGAGGAGGGTTTCGGGGGATATTCTACCATAGCCATAAAAAAGGAGCCCCCAGAATAGTAGTGGTAATTATCTAGGCCCTTACATTACAGTAGAAGCCCAAAAGTTGGAAACCCAATAGCCTCAATCCTTAAGAGCAATGTATAAGGAATCCCAGCACTATTTGTCCTTAATCCTGTTTCCAACTTCTTGGGGTTTATTATAAGGGTTTAGGGTTTTAGGGTTCATGGTCTTACTTCTCCAATACCCAACCTCTAAACTTCTTTGGTTCAAGAGTTGCGTAAACCCCAAACTTGTTCATGGGCTTTTTCCAGTTCAAGCTTAAACTGTGTTTTTGAGGGGTCTCTTGGGCTCTACCTGCCACTTGAGAAAATGAACACCCAAACTCCCCACCCCGAACGTCCTTGGAGCCTCGGTACCCTTTCTTCCTTCTCGTCAGTATCCCCGAAGAGTACAAGGACCATAATGCAGGGGCCTTAATAGTTAGAATAGGGTTTTGGGGGTTTCCCTATTATAATTATAGTATACCCAAGCCCCCAAAAGGATCTAAAAAATAGATCCCCTAATTAGGGACCCTAACCAGTAAAGGGTCCTTTATAGGAACTCCCTTAGAGGATCTATTTTTGTTGATCCTTTTGGGGGTCTGGGATACTATTAACCCTAAACCCTAAACCCTATATTCCCTAAACCCTAAACCCTAAACCCTAAGTATACCCTACTTCCTCCGAGCCTCTGTAGAGTTTCTTCACTTCGGTCTTGACTTTGCCTTCCTTGCAAGTCCCGGGCGGCTTGGGGCTCACTTGGAGGGTCGGGGACGTAGTAAGTAGATCTTAATTTTAAGGGTTTTAGGGTTTTAGGGTTTAGGGTTTAGGGTTTATAGGGGTTTATGGGGTTTATAGGGGTTAGGGGTTTAGGGAGTTAGTAAGTAGATAGTAAGTAGAGTTGTAAGTATGCTAGAAGCGATCCTGATTGGGGTTATGGTACTTATAAGTCTAGAAAATAACTAGTTACAAAGTCCCCCGACCCTCACAAGTAAACCCTAAACCCCCAAACTTACGGCTCTTGGAAGAGTTCCAAGTCGAAATGCTCTAGACGTAAGTGTTGCGGTTTAGGCTTTCCTTAGGGGGTCGGGGGACTTAGTAACTAGCTATTTTTCTAGACTTAGAAGTATCATAACCCCAATCAGGATCCCTTTAAGGTACTTAGAACTCTACTTCATATCTACTTACTAAGTCCCCTCACCTTCCAAGTAGGGTCTAAGCCCTCCTCCACCGTAACTTTCGCAGCCTGCTCCAGCCACCTCTGTAGAAGGCTTCAAGGATCCGTCGAAAGAATCCTTAAAGGGACCCTAGCCCCCCCTAGACCGTAATGTAGGGGCCTTAATAATTAGACTGGGGTTTGGGGTCTCTTATACTATAATTATAGTAAGGAACCCACCAAAACAGCATAGGCAATTATTAAGGCCCCTACAGTAATTGTCCCAGCCAGCTCCATGTAATCCCTCAACCCCTAAACCCTATAACCCTCGGCCCAGGCAGCAGCCTGCTCCAGCCACACAAACCTCCAATTACTACAATAAAGGAACCTACAGGTAGGGAAGTTAGGGTATATAGGGCTTCTATGAGGCTTCCATAAGGTATATAAACCTTCGATAAGGCTCCTATAACGGTAACTACCCACCTGAAAATGCCCTCGACTATGCGGCCTCTATACATCCTTTTGTAGAACCCTTGAAAAACTTGATCCTAACTTTCCCAGCCTTAAAACCTCATCAAACCTTGTAGAAACCCTATAACTCTTCAAAAGCCGGTAAAGGAACCCGCAGCAATCAACCCTCCTAAACCCAAACGCCTAAACCTCGAAACCCAAAGCCCTACTGGAACCCTGCACCCTAAACCGTTTAACCGTCCGAGCCAGCTCCCGCCAGCCTAGTCGAAGTAGGACCGTCTAAAACACTAAAAACTTCATCAAAAGGAACCCGACTAGAACCCTGAAAGGAGCCCTTGCAGGAACCCTGAATCCCTAAAGCCCCTATGAAAATGCCTGCTCCGGCCAGCCCCTAACAGATTTCTCATAGATCCCTTGCAGGAGCCCTAAACCCTAAACACTTGAACTGCCCCAGCCGGCTCCAGTTACCCTGAACCCTAAACACTAAAACCCCGAAGCCCTAAACCCTAAACCCTTTAACGGAACACCAAACCCTTCTTGAACTGTCCCAGCCTGCTCCAGCCACCCTAAAAGGGTCTAAACCCTAAACCCTAAACCCTTGAACTGTCCCAGCGTGATCCAGCCAGCCTAGTAGAAGTAGAACCGTCTAAACCACCAAAAATTTCATCAAAGGAACCCAACCAAAAAGTTTAAAGGCTGGGTATCGGGGAACGAAGAGCCTGCTCCAGGTGAACCCCTAAACCCCTAACCCTCATAGACCCTAATAGACCCTAATAGAGCCCAGCAGAGCCTAATAGACCCTAGAGAAACCCCTAAACCTTAAACCCCTAAACCCCTAGACCCGAATAGTCCCTAATAGACCCTAAACCCTAAACCCTAAACCCTAAACCCCTCGACCCCAGCCTGCTCTAGCCAGGTGAACATCTCGGCATCGTGGCGCAGCTTCCGAAGCCTCGGGCCGAAACGCCCGAAACTGTGGGAAAGGGGGGGGGGGGGTGGCCTTGAGCCCAGAGACTCCAATATCTCTTAATTAAGGAATATACCTTAAATTATAATAGGATCCCTAATATTATTTAAGGTATATTCCCTAATTAAGGGGTATTGGAGTCTCTGGAAGAGTTAGGGTTTAGGGTTTAGGGTTTTGTAACAGAGGTTCTTTTAAGACCTCACAAGATCTTTTGGATTTCAGATAGGAGGCGGAAGAGTTTACAATAGGGTTTCGGGGGGTGTGGGGCTCCTGTAAGAAACCTGTAAAGAGTTCCTTGAAAGGTATAAGGGGCTAATTATCATGGGGATGAAGTAGAGGCGCCTCGAGAGTTGGCATATGGGCTCGGGCTTTAGGGCTAACGGTTTCAATTTAGGGGCCTCAGCAATAAGATTAGGGTTTAGGGCTTAGGGGTTTAGTTTTTTTTTTTAAAGGGCCCTCCCTTTTCGTCTGCACAAGTCGCGTCGTGACAAGGCCTACGATTGCCCAGGGTTTAGGGAATGGGGTTGAGGGTTTGGAACGGTAGGCGCCTTACAAACTGGACTACTCTGACAGCTTGCGCAAGCGCATGCGCAGCCGAAAGCAGTGCAATGCGTCCAAAGAGTGTTACTTGGAGGGTCAAGGGACTTAGTAAGTAGATATGAAGTAGAGTTATAAGTACCCTAAAAAGGACCCTACTTGGGGTTATGAGACTTATAAGTCAATAAAAACCTACTTACTAAGCTCCAAGTAGTATACCAGCTGAGGCGCAAGAAAGGCGTGGGGCCGAAGGCACCCGGTGCCAGGCAGCCTTCACCAGCGGGTGCAAGATGGGGGCGCCAGAAAAGCTTGCCAGGCAACGTAGCTCGTGCTGGGGCTTCAAGAAGCCACGGAGGAAGTCCACCATGCTGCTGCTTCGGGCGGCTGGCTGGTTTTGCAACTGGACCGTGTCAGCTATCTGAAGCTTCTGCAGTTGCTTGCGAAAGGCCACTCTCCCACGTCTTTGTGAGAACGCCTGGCTTAGTTGGCACTTGACGCCTGCGCACCGTCAGGCTGAAGCTACCAAGACCCTAAACCCCAAAACCATCTAAAACGCTGAACCAAAAAACCCTAAACCCCTAAAATGAGGCAGCTGCTGGCTAGCCCAGGGACTGAATCGCTTCAGCCCTCCTGCCCAGCAGCTCAGACATGCCCTGACATATTTTCAGGATTTAGGGTTTTACTTTTAGGGTTTAGGGGTTTAGGGTTTAAGCGGTTTAAGGTTTAGGGGTTTAGGGTTCAGGATACGGTTGAAAGTGTAGGCAGGAGCCTTCATACAACGGCTCCGCAGAGACTTTAAGAAATAAACCCAGCAGCCCTGAACCAAAAATCCTAAAACCCTAACGTAGGGGCCTTAATAATTAGAATAGGGTTTCAGGGTATAGTATACTTTAGTTCTAATCAGGAACCCCCCAAAACTAGTATTGATAATTATGTAGGCCCCTATAGTAACCCTTAAGCCCTAAACCCTAAGCCCCCTAAACCCCCTAAAACCCTAAACCCAAAGCCCCTAAACCCTAAACCCCCTAAAACCCCAAACCCTAAGCCCCCTAAAATCCTAAACCCTAAGCCCAGTAAACCCTAAGCCCAGTAAACCCTAAGCCCAGTAAACCCCAAACCGTTGCAGCCTCTTCAGGATACGGTCGACCTCTCGAACTTCACTGCCGTGAAGGCTCACGCGACTAAGAAAGTAACGTAGGGGCCTTAATTATTAGAATAGGGTTTTGGGGCCCCTTATACCATAACTAAAAGAGGAACCCCCAGAAGAGTGTCGGTAATTGTTAAGGCCGCTACAGTAATTAGGTTGTGAGTGATGTTCGAACTGAAATAAGGCAAACCCGCTTAGGGACTAACAACTCCCAATTTACTACGTAAGTTCGCAAAGGCTTTCACTAAGCCCTAAAAGTAAACTCCTGAAAAATTGACCCGGTTGAAAGATAATTTTAACACTGGGCTTCCCGTATTTCCCACACCCCAGAACTGTTTGGGCCTTAATGTAGAGGTCTTAATAATTAGAATGGGGTTTTGGGGTACATGATACTATAACCATAAAAAGGAAGCCCACCAAAATTGTATTGGTAGTTGTTTAGGCCCTTATATTACGTCCAACACCCAAGAACTGTTTGGGGCATGTCAGCCGAAACAACCCTAAACCCTAAACCCTAAACCCAAAGTCCTGAACCCTAAACCTAAACCCTAAACCCTAAACCCTAAACCTAAACCCTAAGTCCTGAACCCTAAACCTAAACCCTAAACCCTAAACCCTAAACCCTCAACCCTAAACCTAAACCCTAAACCCAAAGTCCTGAACCCTAAACCTAAACCCTAAACCCTAAACCCTAAACCCGAAGCCCTGAACCCTAAAGCCTAAAC